CATTGTCTTGGAGATTCGATGAGTGTTGCATGAACAACTGTATGCAGCAACATAGAAAAACTACTACTCACTGAAGGACAAAGTCCGCCCAATAAATCTGGAATCTAAAATGTATACATACATCATGCTGCTTACGTGTCGAAATGCCTTGAGCACCTTACAAGGCCCTACAGACACAGTTCAGTATTTTCATTTCAAGTCCTCAATTCCATCAAAATCACAATGTATAAGTAAATACCAGTGTGCTATGGAACTATCACAGCTGCCATTAACGCTATTGTCTTAACCCTTCCCATCAGAAAGATGGGGCCTCATAAAGCAGCCACTGACAGAGCGTTCCAACAGGAGCTGTATGTTTCTGACACACTGCACTGTACTAACACAGCCCTTGCACAGCATGTTTGAAATTTCATACAAAACTTTTTATAAAAGTTTTAGCAGCAGCCTACATTGGCTTTACAAGTATTTACATACCACATTCAAGAAGTTTAGTTTTCTTCCCAAAAGACATGAAACTGCTAAGCACTTGTACCTTCAGGTTTCAAATGCCTCGGCAAATCACTATCTACAGAAGATTGTTAATGGCAGACTGAAACACGCTACATACTTAAACTCCAGAGAACACCATTTTAACTTGCAGAATTGTTTCCATCAGTAAGGCACACCAGACAAAGACGATTCCCACATGCTCAATCTTTATTGTGTGAATGTTGTTCAAAGCATTTATTACCCTTCGTAGACACACATTAAAAAAAAAAAAATACATTAACAGTGGCTAGATCAATGGGCGACATATTAAAATCTATTTGGTGGTAATTTGTATGCATGCAGTTAGCTCTTGTGGTATAAAAATCTCAGCCGGGAGGCCAGCCCAACTGACGACCACCCAGAACATGGAGATGTACGTGATAGACAGACTGCCCACCCTCAGGCCCTTCATTCACAACCATCCGGAATCCATTGGTCAGGCCCAGGCTAGCAGCACACTTCTTGCCAACAATCATTAAATGCCCAAGAAGCTGGAGGAGAAAAAAAAAAAAGAAAGAAAAAAACAAACAGAAAACACACAAAAAGGGGAGAGGGCAGGAAGGGAAGGAATGAGAGCAGAGAACCATTCAAATAAGCCAGTAAGCTAATTCTTAGAAATTCAGTCACTGCTCTTCAAATTGTTGTCTGCCTGCAACTGACACTGTCCAAGAAAAGTTATAAAGACTGACTATGCATAATATAGGGGGAAAAAATTCAAGCTAGACAGTAACAAACTACAGAAGTGTCGCAGAAGCTAAATTTATCTCATGGTTAAAGCCCCCGTTACTTCTTCAGGCAACATATATAATTCTGGTGGAAAAGAAACTTTATCTTATCATGTAAAAGTTTACAGAGTATTTTAACTTGATGTTTATAGTTACAATTGAAATACTCAGCACCTCTCAGCTAACTTTTTCTTTCTTCATCTCTGACCTGCCCAAAACCCCAAGCCCATATTAGAATAAGTACTACTGCCTGTAAACCATGAAAACAGATATCAAGACTGTACTCCAAAATAACAATGCATTTTGCACTGCAGATACATACCCAGAAATACATTTTGCTTTGTATCACTACTTTTACTGGAAAACCTTAACTCCATTCCCATTCTAAGCTAGAAGAAAAGGATTATAGTATTGGAAAACTACTTTGCCTCTTTGACATGTCAAGAGGAAAAGGGGGAGAGTCTAGTAAATTAGGAAGTAATTAGAAGTACAATTTGGTGTACAGAAAGCTTCTAGAGTACTTACAGATTCATCAGAATCTTCTGCTTCAGATAACCTGACAATTGGCTTCTTAGGAATCACTAAGAAATGTGTTGGAGCTTGGGGTGAAATATCGTGGAACGCAAGGCACTGGAAGAAGAACAAACAATTAAAACATAATGTGCTTCAGAGAAAGGCAACAGTTTAAGTAAATCAATATGCCCCACTAAATACATACTCAAGCAGATTATTGGATACCCCAAACATAAGCAGAGATGTTGATTTTTGTTGAGTGATGTATTATTCAAAGTCCTCTAATTTCTAAACACAAAACACCTGCTTAGGAAGACCTCCTGGTATGAAAAAAATAAACATTATTCGGTTTTAAGTATTAATTAAAAGCTATAGTCTTCTCAACAAGTTAATATGCAATTAGGTTCATGATTTATTATTTCCACATATGCATACCAACTAACAGAGCTGATGACATGCATGCCTATAAAAAGTACATTTATGCTTATTTCACTTTTTTATTAATACCCTGTTAATAAAACAAATGGCAAACAGTCACCAATCATCTTCCAGTTATGTGTGAATACTGCCTTGGTCAAAGATAGCAAGGCAATTTCGAAGAACCTAAAGTAACTTGATTGAGGCTGGATTACATTTCTGTTCTCAATAGCAATGAGTATTTCAGAAAAAGATTATTTCAAAATAATGTATTAAGGCTCCTCTACTTCAGATATTCTCAAATTGAGGGAAAGGCATCACTTTTGAAATATAAACAATAAGCAGTTGACTCGCAACTAATTTTATGGAAGTACCAAAATTACTATCAATCAGAAACTGCATGCAGCACTTAACTGCATCAAATAAATCTCAAATTAGGAACTTGTAATAGGTAAGAGAAATAGAAGAGAAAGCAAAGAAAGAGAAAAGGAAGCTATGCCTCTTTGTGCAAATGGCCAACCACAGGACCAGGACTTGCTACTGCAACCCCCACAGTCTGCAGATGCTCACACTGAGCATGCACTCTGCCATTGCTAACCAAAGGGTGTCTCTGATGTAGCCACCACATTTAGCAGCAAAATGTCTGGTGGATATTGGTTGAGTTATGCCACAAAGAGTGCATACTTATAAACATGTATCTTACATTCTTCAAAATATCTATTTCCTAGATGCTTTCAGTTATTTGTGAATCAACAAAGTGAATCTTCTTTGCGACTATACTGCTTTTTAATTCTACCGAGAGGAACTGCGGCCTCTGCCAAGAGCAAGGGTGGTGAAAAGCCCGAACTTTACCTACATAACAATGTCGCATCTTACATACCTCCAATCTGTCCTATTTTAAGCTATCCTTAAGAACATAACGCCCAGTTTTAAATCTCTGATGAACTGCTTGTTTTTCCCAAACAGAGAAGGTTGATAAGCAAAGAATGGATTAATAAAACTAATTTGCTCCTAATTAAATAAATCTTACTTTGACTCGGTCACTTTGTAAGCAAATTTTCTATTCTGTGTGTTCCACCTAGAGGCAGAATGCAAATGGCCAAACTCAGTCAAAGAATTTAATGAGCAAAAGACTGGTAGCAAATAATATTCTATGGGACAGAGACATGAAGTAGTATCAAACAAGAGCACAATCACAGAAAGTCCATGAGTGCATGGTAAACCAACCTTCACTTCAGCAAGTTTAGATTCAACTAAAACAACAGTGATAAGGCTTAATTTCACAGAGACTTTGTACTTTTTAATATCTCCTTTTCTCTGCACGTCAATTAATGATTAAAAGACTTCCTTACATTTCTCCTTGTAACATTTGCAGCCTAAAAAGACCTTCACAGAGTCAACAAAATGAATTAAAGATCATCCACTATAGTCAACTAAACTCTGAAGGCAGTTTTACATTTCTGCATAGTTTAAAGTAAAAATCAACTGAGATACTGCAGGTAATTGCTCTTCCAGAAAATACTGTGCACTAACGGCAGTCAGAGTAGGTTATAAACCCGCTCAAGTCACTCATCAAAGTCAATGGCCTGATTCTCAATCAAGCACAGTGCTCAGGTTACACTGCTGTAGCCACGACAGCTGACGAGAAGCCTCATGCAGCTTTGACCCGGGTCAAGACAGGATGCACACCCTCACATAAACACAGAGCAGTAAAGTAAGCATGATTTTCAGAAAGCAGTGAAAATTTCCAATATTCTTGAGAGTAGATGGCAGCCACAACATTTCTGTATCTATTAAGAAAACACTGTTCCAAGCTATGCGTAATTTTTAAGCATACAAATCAGACAAAGACCATCTTTAGTGAGTCTGCATTCTACACTGCAGATAATCCCTTATTTCAAAAGCAAAAGTCCCTGTTGATGTTCAGTACTCCAATTAAAAAGGGGGGCGGGGCTTATACTGGATACTAGTTTAGTTTACATCTCAGAGATAAGAGCTGCATTTTTTTCATAAACCATTTCACTTAGCTCCTAGCACGCTGTGGTGCACCAGCATCACTCAATGCTACCAGCCCCACCTCACCACAGAAACCGATTTTTGCAGCCTGCAGGCTGACCAGTTCCAGACTGTTGTGAAGAGCAGAAAAAGCTGTGATTCTCTGTAATTCTTCCCTTTAATCATCCTTCTCAGAGGTTCATAAGCAAAGCCTGGCAGGCACAGCTGTATAATCTCGATAACGCTATCGAGACGCACATCGAGACCCGCACGTCTGTGGCTAGCACGGTGCACTGTTTGGGTACGTACGCCCTGAATCCACAAGGAGATTGCCTGCAGGCGGTTAATCTCAGGTTTCACGACTAACCCCCTACACGTCCCCGGGCAGTTAAGCCTGCAGCACGGCCTGCAATGCCGTCAGGCTGCGACACGGGGAGCGCCAGAGGCCCCCCGACACACACAGGCCGGTGACACAGCGGGGCCGGGGC